GCAGCTGTTAATCCTCACAATGAAAATGTCAGGTTTTGGGGACCAGCAGAGGGCAGTAATGGTTATGACTCTGGACTCCCACATGGTCAACCACAGGTCGAGTCCTGGACCCAGAGGTTTAAAACTCACACAGGGCAAGTCTGTGTATGTACCTAAGATACTGAGAGGAGAATAGAGAAGAAGGGACTGCAGCATGGCCATCCCCCTGGGGGATGATTTCTTGCTTTCCGGCTCTCTCTGTGTTTCCAGCAAGCATATGAGCCCTATCGCAAAAATCTCTCTTTAAAAAAAAAAAAAAAGAAAAAAAAGAAAATGTCAGGTTATTTTCCACTTATAGCAACAATTAAAAAGTATCTCTTAACTGACAAGTAAATACAGAGAAGGATATGAATTTTCAATAATACAACTACCTGAATGAAAATCTGTAAAAAAAAAAAAAAAAATACAACACTGCACTAACAGTAGCAGAAAGACTGATCAGTAAGAAGTCTGTATAGCCTGGTGCCTCCCACATTTCTACAGACAAGCTTAAATTCTACAGCTGAGTTATGGGTCTAGACTCAGTATTTTCTTCAGCTTCCTACCAGATCTCTTTCAAACATACCACTGATTATTCAATATTTTTTCAGGAGCTGATGGATGGACAGATGCACTTTAAAATATTTCTAGGAGTAAACAATAACAATTTCATGTCAGATCCAGACATCTTAAGATCTGAAAATGTCCACAGTGCCAAATCATTCCTGCACAACTCAGCATCACTGAGTGCAAGCTTCAGGAACACGACGATTTTGTGACTACGCACTGACACGGGCCTTCGAACTAATGGCAACCACCATTCACAAAAGGCTGCCAATCAGATACTCATAACTCTACGCAATGGAAGTGAAGAAAAAGAAGCAAAAAGTTATATGGCAAACAAAGACTGACTCAGGATACAACATACTTTTCTTACTTTCTAATGAACCTGGCTTATCATCTAAACTTATTTTTACAGATTTCTGCTCTGTAAAGTGCAGTGCCATAACAAGCATCTAGTGTATTATTAGAAAGTGCTGATTAATATCTATGAGAATACTAAAATGGGACAAAAACTATTAGTGAACAATTTCCATTCAGGGCATCTTTTAACAAAACTCCATGCACCCACGACGGTGATGTCCAAGCAGTATCCCACCAACCTCACACCAGTGTGTCCACTGACATATGCTGTCCTCATGGCCCACCGCTACAGGCTTCGATGAACCCTCAGAATACAGAAGGATCAAGTTAGGGCAGTTTCCTACAGTCCTTCGGTTTCTCCCCCTTCTTTGGAACAGGCATGGTAGTAAAGAGAACTGAAACAAATCTTTTTATTTCTAAAGTAGTTTATTATTACCTATTTCCCTCTCTCTCTGTCTTTCCTATGATAACGGGTAACACTCAGGAGTGTTTGCCATATCCCAGACATTTCTAAGGGTGCTGGCACAGAATTTCATCGAATATTCACAACCATCCCCCTGATCCATGTCTCAGATGAAAACCAACCAACCACCCAACAACAACGAAAAATCTCCCAAAACGGAAAAACTAAAATTGGTTAAGAAAATGAACAGAAAGGCCACAAACTGAATGGAATTATTATCAATATATATCACAAGACAGAAGACTGGTATCAAAGAAATATTAAGAAGCCCTACATTTCAGGACACAAACTGCTGTTCGCGTAACGGCTATGTGGCTGTACTCCCATGTAGTCGACAGTAGTTCAAGTCCCGGACCTGGTGACTTAACCTCACGCCCGGTGTGTATGCGTGCGCGCCCAAGATCCCGAGAGGAGAATGGAGGAGAAGGGACTGCGGCGGGGCCATCCCCCTTGGGGAGTGATCTCTCACTTTCTGTCTTTCTGGTGAGTGCACGCGCCCTACAGCAAAAACCTCTCCAAAAAAAAAAAAAAAAAAAACCGAAGCCCTAA